CTCGTTACAAGCTCGTGAAACACGCAAACCGGTTGCAGGTGCAAAGAAGTCCTTCTCGTGGAGGGACATTATCATACTCGTGAATACAAAAGTATCTCCTTTGTGAGGCGCGAAATTGCCAGGGCGCGAAAGCGGGTCGAGCACCAACAGCTTTCGAAGAATGCTGCGGAATGACAGGCTGCGCGATAACGCTTAATTTCCTGAAAAGAATTTGCGCCTCTTGTTGGGTCTGGGATTTAACAGCGAAAAATTCCACTGGCGCGTTCCCTCTTTTCTAGACACTCAAAAGAAATCTGCATAGCGTACAACGTCATGTAGTCAATGTGTGGAGAGAATGAATATTACAAAAATTTCCTGGCTATTTTCTCGTAATACATGATGTATACGGCGATTTGATAAAAGCATTTATCAAACCCGCAAAGAGCGTCTTCCCTTGTCAAACAGTAAGATCCTGATGATACCTTCTGAATCGATTTTACGTTTCGTGACTTCGCTTCGGCGTAATATATATAGGGGAGTTGTGTATTCCGCGTACTTGTGAAACTACAAGCGATACACGCGTGTCTACATATGTCGAAGTTGGTTTCCCCCCAAACTCGAGCACGTGGTATGAGGAATGGCCGAATTATGCGACATATTGCACGATTCAAATCCGCTTTATCGAACAGTAGTCGGATATTTGGGAAGAAAAAGCGGTGTTTATAAGAGCAAGGGGAATTGTTTCGACTGACTGACTGACTACGCTGTTGCTTTGTGCTACAAAAGTAAATATCCGTCGATATTGAAAGGTTCGGAGAATTCAATTCGAGCTTAAATATTCGTCGAAAGACAATCGCAAACATATATATATATATAAAAATTTAATTCGATTGAAATAATCTATCTTGACCGATTGCTGTTCTTACGAGCTCGTAATAATTTCCTCGTGTAAAAAGCACTAACGAGATTAAAGTGCGGCTGTACGATGGGATTTCGAAAGAGAGATCGATCATGCTCTGCGCGTAAGCTGGAAATATGTTCGAATCAATCACAAAGCCAGTCGCGAGATTAAGCTGCACCACGGCCTCTTTTATTGATCAGCGATGCTTCACCGCTCGCTGAAATTCGCCGCACGGCCTTTCGGGGCGAGCGATTGGAGATTAGGTGGCTAATGTGCGGATAGCTAGTATTGCGGAGGGTATACGAAAGATAAATCAGCAGTTTTAGGAGCGACTACTACAATCAAGAAGGGATTGAAGCTGATAATTACCGAAACACACGTACATAAACACACACACACACACGCGCGCGTTAGATGTTTCTAGATGCTAGAAAAGCTACAAAATTAATAGCGTGAATATTTCTAAACGTTATGTAAACACATATTATACAATTTTAACATGTATGTTCAGCGTCTCGGATGAAAACCCTTGAAAAATGCGGCATTAAGTATAAAGGATATCCTCGACCCTGACACACTTATTGTTAGTCTACTTTGCTGAGACGACGATGGCGCTTTTCATCAAAATAACGAGCTATCTCGAAGTTGGACGCATCCATAAATAATCATAAGACATAGAAACGATGAAAATAAGCGAAACATCCGGGACAACGCGACAAGGTGAACGAAATCGTGCGAATGTCGCAAGCGAGATTTCCCGGAAAATTTTGATGGCGCAATATCATCGTGGAAAAAAAGGGCAGCAAGAATAAATTGACGTCTTGAAAGAGGCTCAAGGAACTTGAATAGCTACCGAGCTACCGTCGTGGACTTATTTCGCCTCGTTTTTTCCTCGGTACCGCACCCGTATCTGTACCCCCTCAACACCCTTCTGTCTGGGAATAGAGGGTGAATTGAGTGGTCCAAAAATATATTAAATATCCTCTCAGATCTTCGCTTACTGACTGACATTTTTCGTCAATCTACAATAAGCAAAAACAATAATTTAATAAGTTCAAAAAATATTGCCACACGTATTTAACGAAACTCTTTTGCTCTCACTTTAACAACAATTTTTTGAAGATCGTTTACAATGCTTACAATAGATGTTGGGAGAAAGTTCTTAAACCATTACTATTATAAACAACTAAAATCGTGACGTTGAATATTGCATTCAATTTGGTCCTAGAAATTTATATTAAATATCTTCGCAGATCTTTGCATTACTGACTGACATTTTTCGTCAATCTATAATAAGCGGAAGGCAATAAACAATAATTTAATAAGTTCAAAAATATTGCCACACGTATTTAACGAAACTCTTTTGCCCTCACTTTAACAACAATTTTTTGAAGATCGTTTACAATGCTTACAATAGATGTTGGGAGAAAGTTCTTAAACCATTACTATTATAAACAACTAAAATCGTGACGTTGAATATTGCATTCAATTTGGTCCTAGAAAAATATATTAAATATCTTCTCAGATCTTTGCATTACTGACTGACATTTTTTGTCAATCTACAATAAGCGGAAGACAATAAACAATAATTTAATAAGTTCAAAAAATATTGCCACACGTATTTAACGAAACTCTTTTGCCCTCACTTTAACAACAATTTTTTGAAGATCGTTTACAATGCTTACAATAGATGTTGGGAGAAAGTTCTTAAACCATTACTATTATAAACAACTAAAATCGTGACGTTGAATATTGCATTCAATTTGGTCCTAGAAAAATATATTAAATATCTTCTCAGATCTTTGCATTACTGACTGACATTTTTCGTCAATCTACAATAAGCGGAAGACAATAAACAATAATTTAATAAGTTCAAAAAATATTGCCACACGTATTTAACGAAACTCTTTTGCCCTCACTTTAACAACAATTTTTTGAAGATCGTTTACAATGCTTACAATAGATGTTGGGAAAAAGTTCTTAAACCATTACTATTATAAACAACTAAAATCGTGACGTTGAATATTGCATTCAATTTGGTCCTAGAAAAATATATTAAATATCTTCTCAGATCTTTGCATTACTGACTGACATTTTTCGTCAATCTACAATAAGCGGAAGGCAATAAACAATAATTTAATAAGTTCAAAAAATATTGCCACACGTATTTAACGAAACTCTTTTGCCCTCACTTTAACAACAATTTTTTGAAGATCGTTTACAATGCTTACAATAGATGTTGGGAGAAAGTTCTTAAACCATTACTATTGTAAACAACTAAAATCGTGACGTTGAATATTGCATTCAATTTGGTCCTAGAAAAATATATTAAATATCTTCTCAGATCTTTGCATTACTGACTGACATTTTTCGTCAATCTACAATAAGCGGAAGGCAATAAACAATAATTTAATAAGTTCAAAAAATATTGCCACACGTATTTAACGAAACTCTTTTGCCCTCACTTTAACAACAATTTTTTGAAGATCGTTTACAATGCTTACAATAGATGTTGGGAGAAAGTTCTTAAACCATTACTATTGTAAACAACTAAAATCGTGACGGAACGTTGAATATTGCATTCAATTTGGGGTTCTTCGTAGTCACTATGCCATCACTGTGGGTCGCGCATTTCCATCTCGCAGATTTACATAAGTGACTTATGGTCAGCAAGTATTACCCTCGTGGTAGAGACACGGGGTCGTATCTTTGATGCGACGCTCGCGCGGGGATTCAAATGAGGGACGGTCGTTACGAGACCCGGTGTGGAATATCATACGAAAGTGTCTGGTTTCGTTATTCGCGGATATTCGCGCGGATATGTTTGCGAAAAAAAAAGACCGAGTAATCCGAGTTTCCCGATTTTTTTAAACGACTTCTGGCATTTATCTCTTTTCTTTCTGTCGTAAACAGAGTAGCAATTACGCGCGATAACATTATATAAACATTTTTATCAGAATTTTATCGAATCTCTCTCTCTCGCCAAAATTCCGCTTTTCGCAATTTTAACTAACGAGATTCCATCAAAATGCGACGATTGAAGATTCATTAGCCGTGCAATTGTAATGGTATCTATATACACACCCTGTTGCGATAATGATCGAATCTCGATATGTAACCATTCGATTAATTTACTCGACAATACTTCTCTAACAGAGTGGCAGCGGTTTTCGATTAACCATCGAAATTGTATTCATTAAATGCTGAAAATCTATTCATTTCAATCCGAATACTACCCAGTAGTATCTTTCTCTTGTTCACTTCTAACCGCTGTTAACACACTTGTGTGTCTCACCGTTTGCAAATTACATTAATCCCGCGGAGAGATAACGCCTCCAGGCTCCACCGCGATCCAAGATTAAATAATGCGGTATCAGCGAAATCTTGGCAATGATATATGGCGATACGAAAACTGATCGTAGATTTAATTTGAAGATTATCACGACGAAGCCGATTTGATGTGTAACGCGCACGCGTATTACGCATACTCGCACGCACGTCGATTTTTCATGTATAATTAGCCGTCACCGCTTAACGAGCGTGCGATCCTGCTCGCGACGAAGATCCATCGCGCGTAATAACTCTCGTCTCTCTGACACAGCGACGGGAAAGCGCAATTTTTCCTCATACATACATATGTATGTACACGGTGTCTCGGATTTCCATTTTATCTACGGGTTCTTTGAATAATTTCAAGTCAATCTTTTCCCGACCGTCTTCTTCGTATTTCCGAAGAAGAAGAAGAAGAAGATATCGATTCTAATTTGGTCGAGGCATCCGTGCGTGAAAAGGAGAGCGAGAAATCTCTGTGACATCCCGTGTAATATCGCGCGCAGAGACCGTATGAATGATCGTTAATTAATTCCAGACACGGCGCGAGCAAAACGACCCACCGGGCGAAACAACGCGCCTCTGCCTTATATTCCCAATTTTTCACGTACGCATACATATGTACGAGCATAATAAATACCGGCGACGGTTACCTTTCGGTGACGCGAATTGCATAGCAACGAGAAGCATTTTTTTTCTCCCTCCCTCTTTTTCGAAACGTATTGTACCCTGCTGTCCCACTTCAGCTCCTTTTCTCTGTCTCGCGGCGAAACGTAGAAACGATTCCCTATCATGAGCGAAAGCGTTTTATCAGATAAAGTCATGCTATCGGTCTCAGATAAGGGAACGGTGACAGACGATGATACACGACGTCCGTAGTTTCGGAAATGTACGTGTCGCACTAGCTATTTTTTTCCGCTCCCCATTTCGCGTGTGATTCTCGCCTCTATCGTCGTCGATCGAAAGATAACTGAATAAAGTAAGTAGTATTTCTATTATTAATTATAATCCAATAATTATATATAGCATAAAAGAGAGCTCAAGAAATTATGAAATGTCGATGAATGGTTCTAAAATCGGAAACCAAAAACTGGTTAAATACACAATTTTTTTAATTCGTTCTCTCTTTATACGATTTGACGTTTAAAATAAATTTTCTTTCAAAAGTGTTATATATACAACAGAATACTCGTGCCGTAATAATTCGTGTTTGCGGACGTCAGTTTAATGATTGAGTGTTTTCTTCGTGCGATCGTTATCAGGTGTGCAAAATTCAAGACGACCACACACTTGATTAAATAATAATCGATCGTATCTGAACGAGCGCGCTTCCACTCGCATTCGTCCTAATCCCATTTGCACTTTAGCCGTGACCCTCCGCCTCTTAACTCGTCCATTATTCTATATTGAATTGCACATAAATCTTCATACCAAAAGAGCAACTTGGACTCGTGCGGACCACCTGCAAACCGGTAAAGAGAGCGCGCAGTAATTTCTCTTCATCTCTTCTTGCGCGAGGACCGGCTGTTTTTTTCCCCCGTTAAAGTAGATTCGTCTCAATCTCGAACCTTAAGGATCAAAAGCACTAAATAACCGTCCTTGCCGATAGGTCATGGACACGCTCTATCCGAATCTGTACGACCGGTTCAAGACCGAGGGACTCTGTCCCGTCTGTCTCATGGAGATGGAACTCACGCCTCGGTACTCGTGCGTCAACAAACACACCCTGTGTCATCGTTGCAAGCCCTACTACTACGGCTGTCCCACGTGCAAGTCGCCGTTGAATATGGAGACTCTGCCGTTGCAGACGGATGCACCGCCTCCGACCCATTTCATGCCACATCCCATGTCACCGCGACCATACGACGATCACAATCCCAGTGCGCCGTCGATGATCGGCTTCCTGGACTACGAGAAAAGGGCTTGGGAGCCGCCCGCAGCTTTGGAGAATCAAGAACTCGAATCGTGCTCGTACTCTCACCTGGGATGCTGGATAAAGATACCGGAACATCTGCGCGTGTTGCATGAGTCGAGGTAAAGGCTTGAATTATTCTACACCGTCGCCATCAGTGTCATTAATAATATATATGTTAATAATAATGTTCAACGGAATAAATTAACCGGAACCAGTTGTTTCTTATAGTTTTTTTGAATAGATGTTGAATATGAATCTGGTTACCAAATTATTCCACCATGTTAGAAGTTTGAAAATTTTTAATTAAAGTTGCAAAGAAGGGCTTTATTCATGAACTTTGTCACATTACTATAAATCCAGTGTCAAAATTGTTAAATTCAAAATGAACTCAACTTGGCAGATTTATATAAAAAAAGCATTTTTTAAAGATATGCCCATATTGAGGATCATTTTGAATTTGACAATTCTGACATTGAATTCGTATTCAATGACAAAAAATCCTTGAAAGCTACATATATAGTAAATCGTCAAGAACCTAATTGTAAATCATAGCTAACTTTCGCAATACAGCTCATATTTAATCATGGATATCTTATTATTAATCATAACCAAAACCAAAATTTCTTGTAAGGATTAAAAATCCTAACAATATACTTTATTTTAATTGCGATCAAATTTCTCCAGCATGTCACATATTATAGTTATAATATGACGAAGTTCGTGAAAATAGCCTTTTTTTGCAACTTTAAGTAAAAATTTTTCAAAATGTGACATAATAAAATAATTTGAAACCTAATTCGTATTCAATATTTAAAAAATTATAAGAAACGACTAGGTAGTCTCGTTCCGGTTGATTTCTTTTTATTGAATGGTGCATTGTTTGATAATAATTGTAATCGTTTGCTAATAATTGTAATCTCAGGTGTCAGTTTCGACCGCATTTGGAGGAGGAGCACGTGCCGACCGATCTTCATCATTCTGATGATTTGGTGGAGTGCACGTATAGCGCAGCGGGTTGCAAGGTACGAACGGTGCCATGGCGACGTAGCATTCACGAGAAGTTTTGCATCTATAGGGACAAGTTTCAGGACGTAAACGACATTAGCGAGGGTCTCGCGTCCGCAACGATCGTCGATAACGATTATGGAGGCGATCCCGACGAATTGGTGCGATGCAAGTTCGAGGGATACGGCTGCATGGTGAGAATGCCAAGAAGACGGAAATACATGCACGAGCAGAAATGCAACTACAAGAGCCATCAAGGAGACATAAACGATGAGTTCTTCGTTCATTCCGTCGAGCCGGAATTAGATCCTGAGGAGCAAGTGGAATGCAGATGGTCCGTATACGGTTGCCGGGTCAGGCCGAAGCGTTATCGCGTGCAAATCCACGAGGATAAATGTAATTACAGGATGGAAGAGTGCGCGTACAAGCATTACGGATGCAGCGCCATGTTTACGCCGCCCAGAAAAAACGCTCACGAGAAAAATTGCGAATACGCCAATTAAATTAATGCGGTGTCTCTCAAATAAAATATAATTCTCGCATAGAGCAGATGTATATCCATTAAAAGCGATGTGTAAAAATATTTTTGATTTTTAAGAGATGTCGATAATTAAAATATAGTCTCACGATGAAGCGTACTTCATTTTCGTGACGAATGACACAAAGATAAATTGCCTTCGAGAGAACCGATTCATCTGTGTATTCGTTGTATACGGAATAGAAAACTCTCTACTTTATGCTGCAAAAAAGAGTAATTAAAATTCTGTTGGAACGTATTCCTGGCAATTTCATCAATCTGCGAACTATCAAGCGCGAGATAACGCGCGGGAATAACAACAATTAACGGCTACAAAGCAAGTCTATCGTCAGCCGCTGAAACGTAAGTCTATTTTACAAAACCCATTAACAGCGATTTCTTCAAGAACCCGTGGGATGATACACGGAAGAGGATTATTTACTCTCTTCCTCTCTCTCTCTCTCTCCGTCCCGTTGTAAGATAGCGAGACTTACGCCTGTCGGTCGAGGGATCATCTTGAGCATGATCGTCCGGAATAAGGGGTGATGGCGTGGCTGGGATATCCAACACCTGCAGGCTAATGGTGAATCTCCCTGTGCGCCTACGATCGCCCGTTCTCAACCCCCCATCGCTCGATGAAACGACACCTACACGTTTATAGCGGCCATTTATAACGTCGGCGTGTGCAAAAGATGGGGGCGAGCTTCGTTTCGACGCCTTCAAGTGTTAGTCCCGAAGTCAATAAAACGTGTGAGAATTAAACGATATGCCCGATCTTCAATTTTATTTTATCTATTAATGATTGAAGGTGAGAAACAAGTTATTTGAATCATTAATAATAATAATAATCATAATAATAACAGCCCTTTGCTATTGTATTATTATTATTACAATATGTAAATTGGCACCATAAAATTGATTCGTTTATTTAATGTAGTATTGACACATAAGCAAATATTTAAAAGTCAGCAGAGTTCAACGCTTGCGAATGAAAGGCAAAAAAATGGAGATCAAAATCTATTTCTCGTCCCATGAAAATCTCTGATACTCCCATGGGCGAAGGCGTACGTTCTCGTTCCTAAATAAATATCGAATGGACCGTGTCGCGAGAAAATCTTGTCCGTTCGCCAAGCAAGCGGTACGTCATCTCAACCTGGTCAGAACTTTCACATTCGCCGATGGCCCGCTGGACAAAGGACTGTTTTACATAGTAAAGACCAAAAAGGACCCCTACTCTCTGACCATCGGACGCCTTAAAGAGGATACCTCATATACCGTATCCAAGTTCATAGTCGCACACAAAGCGAACCACCATCCCAAATTATATCCGGAAACAATCGAAATGACTCTTATTCAAAGCAATGCTACCCCTCGATCGCTACCCTTTGCCTTCTCTAATTGCGTTTCAGGCAATTCGCTGATTTTTAATTAACCGATTTACGAAAAGGATTGCGCAGCTTAAAGAAGATATTTTATTACGATTGATTTTGATTTCGAACATCTGCTGTCATCTGAATTATGCACATAAATTTATTTCTCCCGACTGTATATTATATAAAATTTAAATATAACACGTATATATAGTCGGTTATGCTTTTCATTTTTTAATATATATAAAGTAATAATCTTATATTACCTATATATAATCCCATACTTTTTCACATAACAAATAACACTATTGTATACTCGAGGAAGCATATTAAATTCGATGTGTAATAAATAGATGTAAAAAAATCCGTTTTCTAGTTCAATAAATAAAAAAACCACATTAATATACAAATCCGTCATTTCTATGTAAAACAGCAACGGGAAAGGACAAGTTACGACAGATAGGGACGATTATCAAGCGAAAGATAATAGCTTTTTTTCTTCATTAAAACCTCTCTCGCATAAATTAATCAGCTGATCAACGTTAGATGATGAAAGATAAGAAGACGGTTCTCCGTCGCATTTAAAAAGCTCGTTGGTAGGCAGAACGGATACAAGCACGGCAAGCTAACACCGATGGTGGGGTTGAGCGAAGAATAGTAGGAGGAGATGCGAGTAAATTGCACCCCTGGGGACAAGCCTGACGAGTGACGCGAAGGACGCAACAAGCCAGAAGTCAGCCAACTTTAATTAAGACGGCGTAGCAGACTAGATGTAGACACGAGACTTTATATAAGAACTCGGGTTTGCAAAATTTCTTTGTTACCTGCAAATTGTAGAACGCGTCATGCGAGCGATAGAACCACGATAGAGATGTTAAGTATTTCTCATATAAGTTGCAGAACGTTTCAGATTTAGCAATCTATTTTTCATACAATTTCAGTAGCTTTGATCCAAGATCAATTCTTAAAGAATAATTATCATTCGTCGCAAAACTTTTCGATATTAAATGTTTTTATAATTCATCCTCAAATGTTATAAGGACTTATTCAAACAAAATCCATTGAAAAAGAATAAGATTTTATTACCGCGCGCTCTTAATTTAGTTTTGTATCTTTGCAATCTTAATTAAAGAAAAATCATTTTTAGTTTGATGAAAAAATCCGGAGGAATAAAAAAATGTAAAATACTCTGGTAATAGCGTTAAATATGAATATCGATTTAACGCTTTCGTGACCAGAGGCGCCCCGAATCTAGCACGTTTACGGCCATTGATCATCGGCGTTCAACATGAGCGTACCTGATCCGAAGATTCAGGAAGATTGTGTTCCCACGTAAATATCTCAACGCCAAAAATGACGCTCTCTCTCGCGGCACGCGAGCACCATAATTCACGTTAGCGTTGCTCTTCAGTCGCGAGGGAGAGATCCGATCGTATCTCAATTTCGTCAGGATATAACTATCGGGACGTCCACGTAACGAATAAATCCGTGTAACCGTTTCTCTGAGCGGAGCATCGAATCGCACGGCACGTACGCGATTATCATCGTCGAACGAAACGCGATTGCCGCGGGGGCGAGCTCGGGAGATAAAGATTTACGGCAAGTAAACATTCGTCATCGAGACGGAAATCCGCCGTTGGTCGCAGCGTTCCGGCGCTACGTCCGGGAGATTATGTATGGAATGCATCGTTTATTAAAGTAATCTTAGGGTATTTCACTATTAATAAACCGAATGCGGATAAGAACCTAAGTATGCGAGCGCAAATATGAAATCAGCACGATATGTTTATATCAAAATTAGAAATACAAGCAATGTTGAAATTTCTCTTCGTTACGAGGAACTAAGAATATTAAATAGAATATTAAAACTTACAGGTATCGTGTGTATAATTATAGCAATTTATATTTAAATAATCTTATTGTACAGAGAAGAATAATCACCACATCGTGAAGTTTTTTAGTAAAGTAATTACAGCAGTAGCGATCATAAGAATAGCTCTCTAGAACGCTCCTGGACTGACAATTAACTCTATGATATCTTATTTCGGCGCACGTCCTTCGAACAAACGATTTCTACATTCGGTGGCGACAAACTTTTCCCGCGAAATTAGAATTCTTAATACAACCCTTTCGGGTTCTATATAGGAAGGGAATGAATTCGAGAGTACATTCATGACGGTGGAAGAACCGGCCGAAGAAGAGGTACGTCTCCGAGGAAAAAGCAAATTTAATGAAACGAGAAAAACCTCGGCGAAGGTGTATTTGTAATGCAAATACCGGGACCGACGTTCCCGCAGGGACGAAAAATGAAAGGCTCGAAACAGGCGGGAAACGAAATCGAGTGTCCCATCGCTCTCGTTAATCCGATTCCGAATTCTTCGTCGTTCGCCCGCTCGCACGCTCGAATCACGTTTCTGACGTTTGCGCACAGCCTTGGAAAAAAATAATCCTAATATTTTCCCCTCCTTAATTACCTCGGAGATTCGGATGGATTATACAAAGCCACACGATTCATTTCGCGAATGCTTATTACTCGAAATAATCTCACAATCAGATCAGAATATTGGCAGCGATTTCACTTCTGTGATCGATTTTTACGCGTACAAAGTTTCCGCTTAGTGTTTGTGAAACGTGAAACGCCATTCGCGAAGACGGAAAGATAGAAAGGAAACTAGTGCCGAGAGGATTGAAGGAATCGTTATTTACCGAAAGTTGAGACCATATTGTTCCCTTTCGGCGGACGCATTGTCGAATTAAGAGCTTTTGTGTCGGAGGACGACAGGGGTAGGCAGAGCAATGCGCTCGTCCGCGTCTCTTTTCAGCCAACAGTCCATTCGCATCTCCTCCTCTATGGTTTTGACATGTTTCACCCGTCCCGCGTCGCTTCACGCAAATGAAAGCACTTTTCCGCCGAATAGACAAAATAAATCGAGTCGCGCATGACAATGCCGATAATTTCGCAACAATACGCATTCGCCCCCGGTCGACGTACGCACGAATAAATACGCGGCTTGCAGGAAACGCGCGTGAAAAAACGCAGACGAGATCGGTAGGGTTGCGCCACATTTCTTCTCCAAACAATGACTAACTGCTAGAGGGTAAATCAACGCGAGTCGAAATGGCTTTTTCGCTGACGCTCGGCGTACTTCTTCGAAAAAACAAAAATCGTTCCTTATAGTGAAAGCTCGAACTATTCAGACAGTAGTTCTAAGGAAATTGCAAAAATCTGTATTTCAATATTGTCGTTAAATATCATATATAGCGCTCTTGCGTTTACAAAGCCGAAAGAAAAGCGCTGACCAAGCAAAGGGGGTTGGTACGACTCGATGATTTATCCGTGATAATTAAAGGACCGAACGTCACCACCGGCTGCGTATCGATGACCAACGGCCGGTGCGTGAGTCTCGTATTAATAGGGTGTTTTAATATCCACCGCGAACGTTACCCATATCAATTTTAGCCTCAAAAGATTCATTGAACAAACGCGCGAAATTTTATACAGCAATGTTATATAAAGACTTTTTTTTTTTTTTTGCTAAATGTGCAACGTTCGCGTATCTGATTAAAAGCGCGAAATTATACGATGTATGATTTCCACTCTGTCTCCTTCTTTCTCTCAAAGTACTTCGATATCACGGCAAATCACAAATTGTATCAACGTAGAAAAAGCAAAAACAAATTAGAAACTCTTGTTTACCGGTTAAGTTTCACCGATAGCGTTTACAGAAATGCAATCACCCCTATAGGAACACTTGGAATTTCGTCGTAGACATGTGAAAACTCTTCACGACAAGCTCTCGAAATTCGCCAAAGTATCGAAGAAGTTGGATGGGATATGGAATCACGATGATGTGGAAAAAGGGAACTTTTTAATGGCGTATACCCAGGTTCCAGGGCCCCTATCGATGTTAAATCGTTCCTAATGCTTCGTCTTTCAACGCGACACTCTATACTCTATAGACTAAACAACCTTCTTTATTTTCTCAGTAAGAACTTATCCTCTTAGCTGCAATCTTCTTTCCTTAATTGCAATAAAAAGAATCAAGTAATACGGTAAGAAATTATTGTTCTCAACGTAAAGCTTCTAAAACGCTTATTCCAATGACATAAAATTATTCGTCTCTGTCATCCGATATTAAAATAAAAAAATTTTTTTAAATTATATACGTATTTTATTACTTCTTCACTTAATCGACTAATATTAAAATAATCATCTTTTTCTTATTATATCTTATCTACCTTATATTTTTTAAGCAAAAATTCATAAATTTATTACTTCAACAATCATAATAAAAAATAGTATAAAAATATACATATGTAATATATACTTTAAAGTATTTGATATTATCAAAACATTTCTATATTATAAGAGTGACGATAAAATAAGCATCATTTCG